ACTCCCATTTCCACCCCTTGAGTCCTGAACCCATGAATCCTGGCTATGGGAGAAACAGCACCATATATCGGACATTGGTTTAGAGCACATACAGCCTAATCGACTTGACAGCAACAGGTTTGGAGAACACTGTGCGATCCCTGCACACTATTGCCACGTAGCTGGCACTGTAATTATGTCTTTAGGCCATTCCATCGTTCTTTCAAGCCAGCTGCTTCAGGATGATGGGGAAGATGGTAAGATGAGTGAACTCCATGAGCATGGGCCCATTGCTTCACGTCATTTGCTGTGAAGTGAGTCCTTTGATCCAAGGTAAAACAGTAGGCTGCTGGCTCACAGGCTGCAGAGACTGACAAATCCATGACTGGCAGGCAGTACAGCAGGTTGCTGGCTTAAGTCCCAAGAACCAGAGGTCAGATAATAATGAGCTGGATGTAGAATCCAGAGCAAGCACGCAAGATTTGCCAGAATGTCCACAAATATATTTGATATATATTCGGATATATGGATGCAGGCCTTACTCCTGAGGACACTCCCCTTACAACTGATTGGCTGATCACATCAGATCACATCATGGAGGATAACTACATCATTATATAACTGCCAAACTACATCATTATATAACTACGACACCACAGAGGATCTTGGCCCTGCCAAGTTGACACACAACCCTAACCATCACCCCCGCTTTCTAGAATCAACCCTAAACAGGTAAGAGAGTTTGAACGATTTCAGACCAACAATCTGGGATTCCTTCTCCTGGACCTCTACTCCATGTCCCAAAATACTTGTCTGGAACTCCAGCAGCCGATTTTCAATGGCTACATTGTTCAGATACTGTGATCTGCTTGCTCAGCTGGATTGCATTCATTCATAATAGGCCTTCAGTTTACTATATGCCAGACTCAAATAGGAATTATAACTGCTGCAATCAAGGAATTGAAATCTGGATTCAAAAGGAAAAACAGCTATATAAACAAGTAATTATAACAGATAACAATAAGCACCATCCTGGGAGTATATATAATGCACATAAAGAAAGGCTTAACTTCCTCTGTTTGTAGGAGCAGAGGAAGTCTTCACAGAGGCAGTGACATTTAAACTGAGTAGTATAAGAAAGAATTCTACAAATTGAAGGAGAGGGAATAGCATTCTAGACCGTTGGAATACATACAAAGACAAAAAATTGTTATAAAATGGTATGCTGGGGGCGGGGGGCAAAACGGAATTGGTGTGACTGGAGTATATGGGGTATCAGAGCCCGATGAAGGAGGGGACCAGCCAGCACCTGCCAGGTCCAAGGGGCACTTAGATGACCCTAGAACTATAATAAAATGGAGAAATCGTAATTTCCTCGCTCTGAGGAAAGGTGTAAGGAGGAGTTGGTAAACCAGAGCTGAATGGCCTGGGACGATAGAGAAGGGGCTGAGAGCTTCCAGCAGCAGTTCTTATCCACCCTTCCTCTGTGATGGGTTCAACCTCTCTCTCTCAAGGAGATACTGAGAACAATATTCAAACATAATTAGTTTTAAGGAGCATCAA